CTATACATTCATCAGTTTAATGTCACCGAGAGCTCTCAATCAACAATATATGAGGCAAAAGATGGCCTATCCATACCCTGTCCTTACCACTAAAATCATAAGATAATATTTCGTGCTTGAAGTCATTAAATTTGGGGGAAACTTGTTATACAACAAAGGAAAAGACAGGAACAGACAGTCACAAGTGTATGCTAAGTTGGACAGTGATTGATACAGTTTTTAGCAGAACTTGAAGCTTTAAGAAAAAGAACTCATTTGGCAACATGTACAGGTATAAGACCCTGAGAGAGACCTGTGCAAGTGAGGTTTAAGCATCACTGAGGTTTAAGCCCTGGGGTTTAAGTGACACTGGTGGCATAATAAATCCATGAGAGAAACTGGGACTCTGAGGAGATGAGAAAAGTCCTCAAAGAGGAAAACTGGAAAGACTTTCCCAGCAGAGAGACCTGCACAGACAAACAGCAGGTGAGTACATGGTGTGTTGGGTGAGTCTGAGGAGCTTAGAGTGTCTGGGGCACGGAGACATGAGGAGGCAGGGACTAGGACCCAGATGGCTGGAGAGAACAGGGAGGGCAGAGACTGACTGAAAGGGACTGCACAGATAGTGAGCCCTAATATTTGAGCTTTATGGTAAGTACAGAAAAGGCTGCCCAGGCTCCTGCCCCAGAGTAGGATGCAAACTTAGGATATTTTAAGGGACCGTTTCTCTTGGTATGAACAGGAGTGGTGAGAGGCAGAAACGCCAGGTCTCCACACCCATCCCAGGCCCATGGCCTTCAATAAAGGGGTCCTCCAGGGAGTCCTGGCTTCCTCATTCTCGCAAGGCTCTGCTGCAGTCCACATGTTGACCCTTTCTACCATTTCCTGTCCATCCCTGGATAATTCACAAATCTTTCAAACTTTTCTCCTCACCCTGCAGTGTTGCCTCTGCTTGAAGGACTCATACCACTAAGTGCCATTCCCAGTCCAGACACCTAGGATTCCTCCATAAGCCCCTTCTCCTACCTGACTGGACCAGCAGTAGGGGTTGCCTCTCAGCAAACCCTTTTCCTACTCCCTGATGCTTTTTGGCACTGTAGTGTTTCATGGCTCCTCCTGAGCAGGTTTGGTCCTTTCTCCTGATAATCTAACAAATCCAAATGTGAATCTCCCTCACTGCTGCCCACAGCTCTATACATCTAACACCTCCCCATATAGAGACTCAGGGTTCTCTGCAATCTGACATCCGACCCGTGTCCAATTTCTGCGGCCTGTCCAGCTACCTCCTCACTCCCTCACCAACTTCCTACTAGGTTGCCATGCTGCCCCTTGCTGGGAACTCTCATGGTACCCAGCTTCATCTCCTCTCAGGCCTTTCCAGAACTCTACTCTCCCATGTGTGGTCCATTGCTCTGGGCAGAGTACTGCACAAACCATGAAGTCCGAGGATTTCCAAACCCAGTCACCTAGTCCCTCTGAGCTGTTTACTTTTAAATGGGGCACTATCTATTCCAAAGGACAGGAGAATTGTAACACTGATCACCTAGGAGCAAGCACAGAGCTAAGAACTTTTCTGGCATTATTTCATTGACTTCTCACAGTGCCCAGAGAGACAGACTATACTATTCGCACCATTTAATGGGAAAGGCAGCCAGGCTAAGCATTTTGCCTCACTGGCCTTCCCTGGGGCAGCCTCCCCTGGGCAGCCTCTCTATGCTGGCTCCCTGAGGCCTCTGTGGGCAGAGTGGAGAGCTTCCTCCCCTTAAGCTGCAGCTATGGCTTCAGCCTACAACAAGAGGGTAGGGTTGGTCTGACATACAGTAAGTGCATATTTCATAAATATTTGCTGAGAAGGTAACCTAATGAACGACTAACCCCAGTCAGTGGCAGAAGGTGGTGCTCAGCACTTGACACCTCACCTGTCCTGTCAGGGAATATGCTTAGTACAGGACCTGGCTCACAGTAGGCACACAGCAGTGGTAGTGGAGGAAAAGGAAGAGGAGAATTTTTAAACCACCACTTTACTGAAGTTGCCAGCAACCTAAGTCCGTGTCTTCCTAGTGCCCGGGCCAGGCCCGGCTCCAGCTGGCTTGGTAGAAAATTGGAATAAATGTGGACAACAGAGACCAGGGATGGAAGTCCCATTCTCCCTCCCACTCTCCAGGAACAGAATACGTGGCCAGGCTCCCGCCCTCTCAGGTGGGCCAGCATCAGACCAGCACCCTCTGCCCAGAGTTCACACTGCCTTGGCCCCTTCCCGCAGCATCTCAGGACCATGAGGAGCCTAGTCAGCTGGCTTGCCCCCGCGATTCACCCCTCTCTCCTGGCACCTGGTGAGAGTGATCTGGGTGCTGAGCTGGGCTCCTCCGGCCTGCACGATCAACCCCTGGTCTCGGTGTCTCTTTCTGACTGCTCAGTGTGTTATGGGTCGGGACACGCCACCGCAGCAGGACTTCGACAGGCCACAAGGACTGTGACTGATCAACCTGGACTTCCAGACCTGGTCTGAGCCACACAGCGGAGCTGAACCAGTCTCCGCCTCACCACTTGATTCCCATTGCTCATGAAGCATTCCGGAACTCTGCAGAAGGAGCTGACCCGGTGGAGGCTACCTGGGTTGTCCAGATCCACGTCTCTGAGCCGCAGAGATCACAGAAGGGGTATTTCTGCAGACTTTCCCCCATGCATCAGCAAAGTCAGGTCTAGGAGTGGAGGAGAGGGTCCACTGGGATGGTGAAAAGAGAACCTGACCAAACACTTGTCTATGACTGACTGAAAGGGACTGCACAGATAGTGAGCCCTGATATTTGAGCTTTACAGTAAGTGCGGAAAAGGCTGCCCAGTTTCCTCCTCCGTAAAACAGGCAATAGAGCATAACTCACGAGAGTCTCACCAGTTTGCTGTGAAGATGAACTAAAAATAACCATCTCTAAATCTGCGAAGCCCAGATGTTGAGAATGCGCTCGGGCTTCCCCGCTTGAGTTTGGCTCTTCAGGGGACCCAGTGTAGGTCACTCCTGAAACCAATAGATCCAAACCAGTTTTTGCTTCTCCTTAGGTGCGGTGGGGACAGAAACCCGAATGCTGCTGTAGGAGCCGCGGGCTGAGCGAGGGAGGCCCCGAGGCCTCGGAAAAGTTGAGGGTGGGAGGAGGACGCGGGAGGCTTGAGGGTGCTGGAGCCAAGGGCAGGAAAGTCCACATTCTAGTAGCTTCTGCTCACTTTCTTTCCTCACTTTTCCTAACTTCCCGTTTGCTCTCGCCCCATCTCTCTCTTGCCCACATCTTTCTTCTCTCACTCCTTCACCCCCCTTCCATCTCATTGTCACCCTCACACTTTATAACCAAACAGCCAAACCCCCTTTCCAATTAAAGTGGAATTAGGCAACTCAATCAAATTAGTTCCCTATTAAAGCCCTTCTTTATTAAACCGTTTTCTTGTCCTGCTATTAAGTTTCACCGACTGGAGGAACTAGAGCCGGCCCCAGAAGTTTACCTCGGGACGTCTCTGGGCCCAGGCTAGGGGAGGGGGCACCCTATTTCCTGGAGTGGAGGAGTGACCGTGCAGAGAGCAGGAGGGAGGGACCCGTAGCTGGAAGAGGGGGGTTGGCCCAGAGGAGCAGCTAATTTGCTCAGCCAAAGGGAAGAGCCCGGATAATCTGGCCCCTGATGTCTGGCCCGAAGATGAGTCCTCAAGGCCACTGTCATTACACTGCACCCCCAAATAAGTCCCAGGCCGTCAATCCAGGCGGAGAACTGTCTCAGCCTGTCTTCCAGCCGCCTCGTCCACCGCCCTGGCCTCCAAAGCTCCCCAGAAGCCCGACGTGCACCGTGCTACCCTGGTTGCATCCAGGTTCGCGCCCTGGACAGTGGGGAGGGATTCGCGCCCCTGCAGAAAGCAGCGCCCGGCCAGGCGACCTCCTAGAGGCTCTCGCGTGCCGGCCGGATGCTCGCAGGATCCTTGCGAGCGCTGCGCCCTCCCGGGCGCCACCCGAACCTTCCTCTCTCGGTCCCTCAGGGTCCCGGCACTGGCGGGTAACTTCTCCTGGGTACTGAGGCCCCAGTGCGGGACCAAGCTTTTCCTCCCAGCCGCCTGCCAAGCCGAACGGGATTCGGGGGTTGTTTTATTTAGAAAATAACATTTATTTCTAGCTCATACCTATGCAAAGGAAAGCACAAAGTGAGCAGTTCTCTGCAGCAGCGCTTGTTGCTGGCGAGTCGCGGGAGGCGAGGGAGGCCCGCGAGCCGGCGGTTTGGGCGGTGGCTTGACGCTCAGTTCCCGCTTCAGCGCACCTTGACCGCTAAGCGAGAGGCCGCAGGCCAGAGCGGCGGGCGGGCGGGATTCCTCCCGAGCTTACAGTTTATTTAATCTAGAAAACCTGATACGTACAATGCGCAAATAGTCTAATTTTTTTCCATTTTGTCCTTTTTGTTTTGCTTTGATTTTGAAAGCTTTTCACGTTAATACGGAGGTCACCTACAGATTACAATTAATAACTTAGAATTCCATTTTATAACATTATACACTGGCTTGAATATATATGTATAGATTATATATAGATTTATACATATATAAAAACTCACACTGCACCAAGGAAACCCATGCTTATCGGCATAAGCAACAAAGAGAGCGACAAATACCGCAACGAGGAAAGTGCACCTTAGAACTTGTTTCTTTCTTTTTTTTTTTTTTTTACAATTGATAAATGTGTCCCAAAGGCTCGATTCAGTGCCAAGAGATGTATACGTCCTAAGTTTATATCTGTTAGAGTGGATCGTTTAAAAATTAAAGGGTGGGTGGGGACCAGAGAACACCGAAGAGGCTGCGTCATCCTGCCGGGAGCCCTCGGAATTCTCAGGAATTCCCGGCCCTTTGACCAAAGGAATGGGCCTCGGGAAGATGTCCCGAGGCCGGGATGCAGACCGCACACCCCGTCTGAGAACACCTCTGCTCTCGGCGCTCCCAACCTCTGCTCTCAGCCCTCCCACCCACCCTCGGGAACAAAGCCAGAGCCTACTCGGGGCGAGAGGACACAGGCCCGGGCGAAGAGGCGCCTGCGGCCGTGGGGACCCGGCTGGGCGAAGGCTCGGGGGCCGCCGGGCCCTTCTACTGCTTCTCAGGGGTGCCGTTGACCATCGGCCCGTACAGGCCGCCCCCGTAGCCCGGCTCCTTGTGCACCGCGGCGGCGGCGGCGGCCGAGCGGTCGCGCATGAGATCGCTGAAGGCGTAGTCCATCGGCGGGCGGAAGCCGAGCGTGGGCACCAGGCCCGCGGTGGAGTAGGGCGCCATGAAGGCCAGGCCGCGGCTGTGCGCCGCCGCCGCCGAGTAGGCCAGGCGCAGCGGGCTGAGGCCCAGAGGCGCCCCCAGCGGGTAGGCGCCCCCGTCCGCCCCGAAGTGACTGGCGTTGGGCTGCAGCGGCGAGAAGGCCGAGCGGCTGCCGAGCGAGCCCAGCGCGCCGGGTGTCATGGCTCCGGCCAGCAAGGGTCTGTGGTGCGGGGGCGCCGGCCCGGCCTGCAGAGGCGCGGGCAGCCCCGGACCCCCGGCGGCAGCGGCGTCCACGCGGCCCGGCCACGCGTCATCCACCGCCGCGCTCACCGCGGCCTTCTCCAGGGGCGCCGTGGGGCCCAGGCCCGCAGCCAGGCCTCCGCGGTGGTGGTTGAGCACCTGCTCGATGGCCTGCACCACGTCGCCGCCGCAGCCCTGCAGCACCAGCTCCAGCACGCCTCTCCGATGGCCGGGGAAGACACGCGTCAGGATGTCCAGTGGCGTCCGCTGCCGCGGCCCCGGGCCTCCACCCAGGCCTGGGGTCGGTGCGGCCTCGGCCTCTTCTTTGTCAGCCTCGGAGCCGGACTCGGAACCCAGGGGGCTGGCGGAGCCGGGGCTGTCCTCCTCGCCGCCACCGCCGGGGCCCGCGCTACCGGGGCAGCTGCTCCCTGCCTCCTTGGAGGCCCGGGCCAGAGGCGACCCGGAAAAGGACTCGCCGTCGCCGTTTTCCGAGCCTGAGCCGGGCCGCACCTCCGGGGACGAGGTCCCGGGACCCGAGTCCGCGCCGTCAGGCGACAGGGGCTTCACTGGCGGCGGCGGACTGTCCGGGCGGCCAGCCTGAAGCAGCGTCTTGGGAAACAGGTCAAACTTCTGCAACTTGGCCTCTGAGAAGGGGAAAAATCAGCAGTGAGGCGAGGGTAAGAAGACTCAGGGCACTTCAGCCTTTCGAATGCAAGTCTGCCAAGTTTCTTCTCATTCTGAACTCCAAACCCTCATTTAGTGGGATCCAGTCCCACTTTTTTTCTGTTTACTCCTTCTATGAGACCCCTATAGCTGTGTCTCTTCCCCCATCTCCAGAGCTCAAGCTATTTCTGTACCCAGAACCCCCAACCACTTGCACTCTGCCTAATGTTCAGTGCTGCTCTTCCCACACCTGTGCAACACTTCCACCCCGTTCCACGTCCCCACCCCTGCCCCCGGGAAGTGGCCTGGTACAAGTTCAGACAGGAGCCAACAGAACTTTTCCTATACCTCACACTAAGTAGGAGACCCTACTCCGCTCAGAGATTCCAAAAGCCAGCCCACCCTGGGCAGCGCCTCCTGTAAGAAAAGGTGCCTCGGGTGACTAGAAAGTCCCAAGCCTCATTACAGAGAGCATAAGTTAACACTCCTATTTCTAATCCAAATTTTTCAAAACTAAGACCGAAGATCTCCCCTCCCAAGCTGAGAGCTGAGTCCCTTCTATGGCCCCGGGCCTAATGTCTTCCCTCCTAGAAAAAGCTTCAGGAGTCCAGAAGAAGAGGGCAGAGAGAAGACAGGGCAAGGGAAAGGGAACCAGGAAAGAGAGAAAGCTCCAACCTGGGGCAAACCCGCATAATTGGGAAAGGGGGTAGAAAAGAAGGGGATGCAGCGAGCGAGCGTTTGTCCAGAATGCTTTAGGAATGGGAGAAAAGGAATCTTCCTGGGAAACTGAAAGCGAGAGAGCAAAGCGGATCAAGGAGATTGGAGAGATTCAGACAGGAGTTGGCAAAGAAAGGAGAGCAAGTGGCGAGGGCAGAAATTCAGGGTAAAAGAACAGGCTCTCTCGCTGGAGAAGAACTAGCAAAATGAGGAGGGAAAGGCTGGGAACCTGTCGCCTTCGGAAGAGTCAGGTTAAAGTGTTATTTGAGGACCTGAGGTAACAGAAAGGTGTAAATGCTCCAGACAGGGGCGAGGCTTTATGGGTCTCTTCCCAGTACCGAAGCTGGGCGGATGTGAACTCTAGTAGCCAGGGCACTGGGGAAGGGAACTGTACTCTGGTTCTTTGGACACTGTCATTAGGCCGCGCGCGCTAGCGCTGGGACCCCGCTCCTTCTTCCAGACCCCACCCCCAACCCGGGGCCCGGCCGCGCTCTCACCTGCGCCCCCCGCGCTCGCGGTGCCACCTCCGGTCCCTGCGGGCGCTCCAGCTCCCGGCCCCCCGGAGTCCGCGGCGCACACGGAGCCGAAGACTTCGTAGGCGGGCCGTGGTGGGATGATGCCGTTGGCGGCGGCCAGCGCCAGGCCCTCGGCAGTGCCATAGAGCAGTTGCAGCTCGCGTGCCTCGTTCTCTTCCTGCGCCTGCTGCCTGCGCAACGCCACCTGTGCGGCCATGACGCGCTGGCGCTCTGCGATGAGCGTGCACTTGGCGCACAGGCAGTCCTTCCAGCGACAGTAGCGCTTGTGGCCCTTGAGCGCCGATACCACTCCGTGGTTGCGGCAGCGCGCGCACTTGGGGGTCCGCGGGTACTTCTCCGCGGCCCTCAGCAACAGCGGCGGCGCCCGCAGCAAGCCTCCAGCCACGCTCACTGGTAGCGAAGCGGCCGCAGCCGCCGCAGCCGCCACGGACGCCACCGAGGCTACGGGCGGCCCTGTGGCTGTCGCTGCAGCAGTCGCCGCGCCGGGCACGCTGGGCAGCTCCGAACGCAACTCCATGGCTGGACCTGGTGTGGAAGAAGGTGGAAAAGGGGTGGGGGGCGGGGACCGGCGTGAGGAGAGAGCACAGTGCGCTGGGCTTGAGCGCGGCCTGGAGGAAGCCAAACTTAAGAAAACTTTGGTTGCAGAAGTTTGGTTAGTGGTTGCCAAATTGCTGGGAGGGGGGTGCATTCGGAGCCTCCAGGTAAATCCGAGCTTCCCCACTGAACTCCCACCACAGCTGTCCTTATATTTGATTTCCAGGTGTAAGATTTCGTTTGAATCAGTAGTTCCTCTAGAAAGAATTAAAAAGACAAAGTTTGGAAGTTCAATTGGATGTATTTAAGATTTGAAAAAGAAAATGTCCCCAAAGCTTAGGTTACCTGGGGTGAGATGAGAAGAAGGGAATGTTTGCTTGAGTGGGACTGGGCTTACAGAGAAAGTTTTGAACCAAGAGGCTAAAGGCAAAGCAGTGAAAACCCGGAGGAAAACTGTTCAGTGTGGTGGAGGGTGTCTTCATGTGTAGGAGAGGTGGGGGCTGCGCAGGCTGGGCCAAGTCTGGCTTTTAATGTGAGTGGGAGCAGGGGAATTCGAGAAAAAAATGAAAGAGAAGAATTTCTATTCAAAGTAGAGTGAGGACTAGCAAACAAACTTGGAGGCAAGGTCAGGCTTGTGGTCCTGGGACCCCTAAAAATGAGTTCTGGAAGTACCACGGTCTGGGCCTCTAGACAGTAGGAGAGAAAACAGACGTGGAACAAAGTTTAGGGGACCCGAGGAGGATTGAAGAGAAAAGTCACGAGAAGAAACTTTCTTGTGTAGGCCTCACCAACGCAAACATGGAGAAACAGCTGATATGGGCGACCAAGACCCAGGTCCACAAGAGGGACGCCCGAAAAACTCCTTGGCCAAAGGTAGGGTGGGGACAGGGCAAAACCTGTGGCGTGGTTTTTAGCCTTTTAGCCCGGAGCAGTCTGGGAGGAAGAGTCCTGGCAAAGTTAGGCGTTCAGGAGCCAGACCCTTTTCGCTGAACACCTCCCATTCTCCTCCTCACCCCTCCCAGTTTAGGGACAGAGTCCTCAGACACGCCCTCCTCATCCTGGGACCCCTTGGGACCCTGCTTGTGAGCAGGTTCCGGCGTTTTGGACTCCAATTCTGGGCCTTACACGGCCCAGCAGGCCTCGAGGAGGCCAGGAAGTAGCCTCCGGAACTGACCGTGAATAGACGCGGGCGTCCCACCTGAGCCGCGGTCGCGGAGGCCGGAGCCGGCCCAGCTCAGCTTCCGCCTCCGCCTCCCGTTCTCGCCACCGCGCCGGGTCCCCGCCAGAGCGGAGGACCAATTACTGGGTCTCTGTAGGAATCCCAGACCTGCTCTGTGTGCGGGGTGTCTGTTCCCCGGGACCCTCCAGGCCGCGCCGTCCCCAAGGCCCACCGGCCTGGCCCTCCTGGACAGGGGGCTCGGCCCGCTCGCCTCCTGCTCTCCCTGCCGCCCTCGGCTACCTGCCTCCGGCTCCGCCGTCCTCCTCCGCTGGCGCCACCTGCGCCGCCCAGCTGTGCTCAGGACGCCCGCGCTCTCGGCCTCTTCCCCTCGCCCCCGGCCCCTGATCTGACCGCGTCACCCTTCTTCAGTCACCATGTCCGAACTTCCGGACGCCCTCAGAACAGAGCAGTCCGACCCTCCCGTCGGAAAGTAGGGCGGGGGCCCGCTCGGGGCCCGCAGCCAGGAAGCCGCCACCCCGCTCTCGCCGTGCCGCGTCCCCTCGCGGTGTGCGCCGGACGCTGCGCAAAGCCGGGGCCCAGGTGCCCGGCGCTGCCAGACTCTCAATGAGCCACTTGCCCACTCTATTGTTGCTCCTTAGGGCTCCATTAGACAGAATTGGACAACAATGTGGCGCCTGCCATTGGCCAGGGGAGGCAGCCGTCGCTCTGATTGGCCGGGCCCTCGCCCGGGGAGCCCCTCATTCTACAGTGTCCGAAAGATTCGAAACTCCAAAAGCTCCACTGTGTGCCTCCGAGAAGGGAGGGGGCGCAGGGAAGGAGGGCAAAACAGTGCTCGAGGAGGAGCGTCGAGAATATCGTGACAAGAAGTTTCCGAGCGCCCGAGAGCGTGTGAATTGCTCCTAATTACCGTGTCCGGTGTGCCTGGCTGCGTAGACGTGTGGAACCCCTTGGCTTCTGGGGCGCCGGCTCCGCTGCGCCGCTTGCGCTGGCCGGGGGCGCTTGGCAAGGCCGAGTTTCCCAAGTGGCCCCGGAAGCCTGGGGCGGGACAGGGGCAGGTGACAATTCAATTACCGCTGCGGGGGTGGGAGCGGAACGGGGGTGCTGGGGTGGCTGAGGGAGGGCGTTCACGTCAAGATGATGTTTCTTGCTTCCGGCTGTTTCGGCGTGTTCCCACGTCCGATGGCGTCCCCTCCGCCCCCCTTTAAAGCTTAGTTTGTGCACTGGTAAAGTCCTGATTCCTTAGAATTTGGCAGGGGTAAGTGTGGTCCGTTAGGATTTTCGTTTCAAAGGAGGAGTCCAAAGAAGTGAGGTCGCTCTTCCCGTCTGCGCCGCCACAGCCTTTCCTCTCTCTGTCCCGTCGGGTCCCTCGGCCCCTGTACTCTTTACTCTTTTCCCCTCATCTCGGTATCCATTCTTGTGGTGTGTGTGTGTGTGTGTGTGTGTGTGTGTGTGTGTGTGTGTGTGTGTGTGTGTGTGTGTGTGTGTATGTTTGAATGAACGAACTTTATTTTTAACTTTTTCTTAAACGAAAGTAAAATGCAGCCTCTGCGTCTTCTCAGGTCCCCCTCGCTGGCTGGACGCAGCGGCCCATCCGTTCTGCGCACCTGGAGGCCGCCCCGGGGTGGGGTGGGGTGCTGGAGCAGTTTTGACTTGGCCTTGCTCCACCTGTGTGACGTCACGGCCCCGAGGGCGCTGGTCTTCAGAGGAGGTAACAGGTTTCGAATTTTGTTTCCCTTCGTATTTATTCCTACCTGGAGTCAGGGCTGCAGGCCTTTTGGGGTCACCCTTGGCTCCTCCAGCTCTGATTCTACCTCGGCCTTTGCTCCTAGAACATTGTTTGTTACATTTCTGTTTTCTACTTTTCTCTCCTCTTCAGAGTAGGGAAAATTCGTTTAAATAACAAGAAGTGAGCTACCTGCTCATTCCAGCCCTGGTCCCTACTGTGGGTTTTCGCGTTGCTTTTTAGAACTCAGGGGTCTGGCCTGTGCTATCCCGGACGACCACCTGCTGGGTGCGCAGAACCTGCCTAAGGCGTCGGTAGAGGCTCTGGCCAGGCACAGCTGCAGGGCCACGTCCAGCCACTTTCGCAGCTTCGAGGCCCTGGTGCTAGGGACCGAGGGAGTAAGCGACATCAGCAGGACCTGGATTGCACAACTTTGCGCGGACCGGGAGTCTGGACGCGCTCCCCTCAAGAGGTCAACTGAGGATCAGACTGGAGAAGATGTGAGCGAGGGATGAGCGGGAGAATGTGATGGACAGCTTCTAGAAAGTTCTCCAGGCCTGACGCAAGAGAACCGGGATAGAACAGAAACCTGGTTTCTGGGTACCAGGAAATTTCACTCCCTGAAACAGAATGGACTTGGTAGGGAATTAAGGGTCAGCTTCTTGCGGGGACCTCGGATTGGTGAGAGTAAGGAGTGCGTGGGTACTGTACTTTGTCCTCTGCGTTAGGAGTCCAGGACCCACGCCTGTCTTGTAACACCTGGCGACCGGTCAGGCGATGGAGAAATCTGTGTGGCCTCTGAGCCCGGGCCGGGAGGGGCAGGGGGCGGGAAGGCACCAGCCGCCGCTCTAGTCCAGGCGCAGGCAGTTAAGTGCCTTTGTATAGAGCTTTTGGGGCGTTTTCCAGAAATTGTTTTAAACCCCAAACGAAATAGCCTACCCAAATCCACTTAGTTTTCTGGGAAGCTGTGTCCTAAATATCCGTCTTCAAGCTTGTGGTCAGGCCGCTGTGAGTTTCAGGTCTAGGTGAACTCACAGGAACACAGGAGCCGACAGTCTCTGGAAGCCGAGCTCTCGTGAATGAGGAGCGGGAGGTGGCGCATTCTAGAACCCAGCCCAGCCCAAACCGTAGGGATCTTCCCACCCTGGTGCCTCTTCTGTTCCTCTTTCCTCAAGTTCCTATCTCCATAGGTCTGAGACGCCAGTCATGTCACAAGCCCAAGGTTGTGGGGTGCTCAAGTCAACGAATGTGTTACAGAGGCTCGCAGTATAAGCCGCCCTGAGACAAGGTAACAGTGCCCACGCCAGGCAAGGCCGGATGCTGCCCGGAAAGGACTGGAAGCCAGGGCCAGCTGAACCGCAAGCCTTAGGGAGGGCATTTCCAGGTTGAGGCAACAGGATTCAATCCCACCCTTGCCCCCATATGGCTTCACACCCAACACAATTCCACCTGCACGACCTCACTGCACGTTGGACACACCTTCATGTACACAGGAAGTGAACGCCCATATGGGCGCGCTCACCTTTGACGCTATCCTACCCCAGGGACCCCTCAGAAGGTTTGACCTCAAAGTGCGCCCTCATAAACTTGCTCTCCGTGTGCATCCACTTAGTGAGTGACCTCAAACCCAGACGCCTGCAGAGTCCGCCTCACGAGGCTGCACACTCAGCATGCCTCCGCTGGGGCAGGGAGCCTCAGCCCCACTCCACCTGCTGGGACACTGGCAGCCCAGACTTTCACTCTAAATTCAGTAACTGACATTGAGGGCCCAACTCAAACTTTGAGACACCTCAGCTCCGAATCTTTTGAGGATGTCTGCCTGGCGTGTGTGCGTGTGTGCGTGTGTGTGTGTGTGTGGTGCACCCACCCAAGAAAATCCTCTACACTCTCATTCACAGGTGACTCCATGTGTCTGCCTGGCGTGTGTGCGTGTGTGTGTGTGGGGGGGGGTGCACCCACCCAAGAAAATCCTCTACACTCTCATTCACAGGTGACTCCATCTATCGCCGACACCCACGCCCACGCCCGGGCAGTGGTGAGGCCAAAGGGAGGACCAGGTAGGGCGTTGGATGCTGTGGGGTTGAGGCCTAGGGCGAGGATTCTGTGTGCTGACTGGGAGAAGGGCTTGGGGTATCGTTGGGGACCGGGGAGGCGTTGACTTTTGCGCTGTTTGCCCGTGGCCTCGGAGCAAGCAGACGCCATCTGTTTGCCGGCTGCGACGCGTCCCGTTTAATTACCCTCCCGGCAGCCTAATAGAGATGATATTAAACTAAATCTTTCTGACATTAAAAGTAATTATCCCCAAACCGGTGGCTCCGGGACGGAACCGC